CAGCCAACTGAGAAGCATAGGAACAAGATGACAGAGATGGGGCCATGTGTGGTGGTGAATGTGTAATTCTAACACTTAGGAGGCTGAGGCAGGAGGAGCAAGAGTTTGAGGATAGCATGGGCTATATAGTGAGACCCTGTCCCAACCTCCCTCCTGCCAATTTTTGTTTTCCATGTGGTCCTAAAGAAGCTCAAGTGGCTAGATGCCAGTGGCTCATGCTTGTAATCTTAGCTACTCAGGAGGCTGAGATCTGAGGATCGCGGTTCAAAGCCAGCCTGGGCAGGAAAGTCCGAGAAACTCTCTAATAAACCACTCAGAAAACCAGAAGTGCCACGGTGGCTCAAGCGGTAGAGTGCTTGCCTTGAGCTGAAGAGCTGAGGGACAGTGCCAAGACTGAGTTCAAGCCCCATAACCGACAAAAAAAAAAAAAAAAGCTTAAGCGGTAGCATACCTGCCTACCAAGTATGAGGTTTAGAGTTCAAACACCAATAACTATAACAATAATGATGACAACAATATGATCTTACAGGCCAGAGATTACCAATACTTTCTTTTCTTTTTTCTTTCCTTTTCTCCCCCCCCACCCCATTAATAACAACTTCATCAGAAACCCTCCAGAAAGGACTGTAGATAATGATGAACTAAACTACTAAACTATACCTATGATTTAGTCATTATGCTTACTTCCCTCTGCTCCTAGTTGTTTTTTTTTGTCTATTTATACTTATAGCTCATGTCTGTACCTTAAAGATGACTGAGGATGTATTAAAGTGCTGTCTTGTGATGGCATACCCAGGCCATGTAATAAATCTTTCTCTGTCCTTCATCATGTCTCTTTATTCAGTGTAAATAACTGAGTGCCTATACCTAAGAACTCCTGGAATTTGGACGTGAGGCCTAAAAACTCCAGTTTCAAAAATTATACAAATATCCAGAATCTAGTAATTCTATCTTCAGTTATCTCAAATTCTGGGCCTGAGGGCTGGCCCTGAGCTCTTCAGCTCAAGGCTTGTGCTCTACCATTTGAGCCACAGCACCACTTCTGGTTTTCTGGGTGGATTATTGGAGATAAGAATCTCACAGACTTTCCTGCCCGGGCTGGCTTTGAACCACGATCCTCAAATCTCAGCCTCCTAAGTAGCTAGGATTACAGGCATGAGCCATCAGTGCCTGGCTACAGTGAGATTTTTATAGATGTTAAATTTCCAGTATAAAGAGTGAACATTCATGGGCTTCTATCACATGGAAAACCACTGCTCAAGGGCCTGTTCTAAGCATTATACATATATAGGTGATGGTCTCCTAACCTTTTATTTTGAAACTAGTTTTCAAAAAGGGATATCAACTGTCCTTATAAGACTATATTCCCTTGCATCTGTGACAGGACAGTGAGAAGTGAGTGGAAATTTCCTTAAAAGTTGGGTGGGTGGGGAGGGATGATCTTTCTCTTCCTGCTTCTTGGACCAAGAATGCCACCGTTAGAGAAGGGAATAAGGGCTACACTGTAGGGATGCTAGACAGTGAACTAGAGGAAGTCATGATGATCTCCAATCCTGATGACCTGCTTCTGGATTTATTTACACTTATGGGAAGGATTGAACCCAGGGCCTGTCCTTGGAAGCATGGCACTTTACCATTGAGCTATGTCCCCACCCTTGCTTCTAGATTTCTTTTGGGTAAGAGAAAATAAGAGGGCTGGGAATGTGGCTTAGTGGTAGAGTGCTTGACTAACATGCACGAAGCCATGGATTTGATTCCTCAATACCACCATCTGGAAGTGGTGCTGTGGTAGAATGCTATCGTTGAGCAAAAGCAGTGCAGGGACAATGCCCAGGCCCTGAGTTCAAGCCCCAGGATGTGTAAAAAGAGAGTGAGAGACAAAGATTCTATTCTTTAAGTTGCTTTTTTTCCCCCTTGTTAGATGGCACCACCAAACATAACCTTAAAGTGCCATTTTGTGGATGAGAAAACTAGGGTACTAGGGTAACTTGTTTGATGTTACAAAATTAGTAAGAGGCAGAGATAACTTTTAGTTCACATTGTCTTACTCTATACGCTTAATACTCTTACAGTATATTGCTCCCTGCTATAAAATTGTAGGAAATGGGTATAATACAGGAAAGTAATTTAACAAATTGCACTATAAACCAGTGCTGGACATCAGTAGCCTCATAAGGTAACCTTCTTTAGCAGAGGTAATGCTGAAGGTGACTGATTATTTTGAGTTGTCTGTTGGAAGCTCTCAGCAACTAGAAGAGATTTATTCCTGAAGGGGAACTAGATCTTCCAGGCATATCATAGTATCTACTATCTATGCATGATATTACACCTTTTTCCTGTTGTTTTGTGTTGATTTTTTTTTAATCGGTTGTGGGGCTTGAACTCTGGGCCTGGCTGCTGTCCTTGTGCTCTTCAGCTCAAGGCGAGTGCTCTACCACTTGAGCCACAGTGCCACTTCCGGTTTTCTAGTGGTTTATTGGAGAAAAGAGTCTCCCAGACTTTCCTGCTTGGGCTGGCTTTGAACCACGATCTTCAGATCTCAGCCTCCTGAGTCGCTAGGATTACAGGTATGAGCCACTGAAGCCCGGCTCATTATTTCTAAAATCCCACAATCCAGGCAAGTTGTCTGATTGGAGATAGTACACAGCATAGGTACCGTTTTCTCCTTGTTAGTGAATACTAGTTGGGTTGGGCTGATTCTTTCCTCATGATCGTTCTGGGCTTATGAGTTTTACAGCGGAAGACCAGGGAGTGTCATCACATGTCAAGGACATACATGGTCAACATGGTAGATCATTGTTGATATTAACTTCCATTTCCTAGCTTTAAAAAATGGACTTTTACCTTAATTCATTTAATACCTACTCTCATAACGACCCATAGAAAAGCATTTACCCACTGTCTTGGTGATTTCTGGATTAGACTCATAAGTAGATTGATGAGATAATCATCAAAAGAGAAAGAAAGGGGAAAGAGCATTGGCTTTCAAACTGCAGTTATAGCATTTACTAGATTATAACTTTAGCCAAGTTACTTACATGTGTTTCATACATTATAGTTTTGGATATGCCAGAATCCCATATAAGAAAGAAAACAGGGGCTGGGAAGGTGGCTCAGTGGTAGAGCGCTTGCCTTGCATGCCTCAGGCCCTGGGTTCGATTCCTCAGCACCACATAAGCAAAAAGAAAAAAGCCGGAAGTGATGCTGTGGCTCAAGTGGTAGAGCACCAGCCTTGAGCTGAAAGAGCTGAGGGACAATGCCCAGGCCCAGAGTTCAGGCCCCACTACCGAACCCAAGGAAAAAAACACCAAAAAAGAAACCGGACCCCCCCCCCCAAAAAAAAAAAGAAAATATTTTTGGAAAGAATAATTCTTTAAACCGTACCACCCAGCAGACTAATTTTTTTAGCTGGTTGAGCAATGTAAGCTAACATGAGTAGAAGAAAAGAGAAGTGAAAAGGATAATTATTCCTAATTTTGGCCTTGCTTCCTTTTGCTAAGGTTTTCTTAATATCTATGAGTGGAGGAAATTTCTTACAACTTAAGAAGCCAGAACAAAAACTCAATTTTTGTTCGTTTTAAAACAAGATCTCAGCCGGGCGCTGGTGGCTAATGCCTGTAATCCTAGCTACTCAGGAGGCTGAGATCTGAGGATTGCAGTTCAAAGTCAGCCCTGGCACGAAAATATGTGAGACTCTGATCTCCAATTAACCACCAGAAAACCAGATGTGGCACTGTGGCTCAAGTGGTAGAGTGCTAGCCTTGAGCTGAAGAGCTCAGGGACAGTGCCCAAAGTTCAAGCCCCATGACAGACCAAAAAAACAAACAAAAACAAAAACAACCCAGGATTTCTCTATGAAGCCCAAACCAGTCTTAAACTCCCAGTTTTCCTGACTTGGCTTCTCAAGTCCTGGGATTACAGGTGTGCACAACCATACCTAGTGGCTAAGAGCTCAAATTTGATGTCAACTAAATATGAAAATTTAGTTTTACTTGCTTTTCTGAATAGTAAAAGGGTAAGAACCATAGCTTGAAGTTCACATCCATAAAACCTTGTTGAGAGCATGAACCTATCGGGGCAAAAACCACTTGCAAGAGAGCTATTATTTCCAACTCAGAATACGTTCGCTGCCATTAAGGGTGCATTAGTTAACCACCATTCACCGGGGGGGGGGGGGCAGCTTCTGGACTGTTTGAAAGTCCAGTTGGGCCCCAAACAGCAGCGTGATTTTTTTTTTTTGGGGGGGGGGGGGAAGGGGGAAATGGCGCTTTTTGAAATTCATTCTGCAAGTCTCTGGGTGCAGGAAAGCAGTCACCTTGGAAACCAGGCCGGCATCACCTTTCAAGCCCACAAGCTGAGCATCCCCTGTTCTCCGCCCCGCCCTCCCCCTGTCGTGATGTCCAGGGCATCGCTATGTTGTGGTCTTGGGCTGTTATCGTTGCTTTCTTCCCATCTCGTTAGCACAGACGAGAACATCTACGGAAGCTTTCCCAGTCACTCCTTCCTGGCTGCCCTTCACCTGCTTTCCTTTCTAAGGGTGGGTGGTCGCCCCTAGCAATCCTCAAAGACAACAACAACAACAACAGCACAAACCTTGAGAGGCCCGGCCTAAGACAGGAACGCTCTATAGAGAGTTTGGAGCAAAGGAACCCAATAGGTAACTGCAAGGAGGGACTGTCACCCAGGTGTGACCACCATCACCCACGCCGCGCTAAGAGATAAACCTCGCGAGATAACACTGCCAAGGGGGGGGGGGGAGAGAGGAAGCCCCAGGGTCTCGCGAGAAGGGGGGGGGGCTGTCGGAAGAAACGGACGGACGAATGGCCCCCTAGGCGACCCTAGCTTGGTGGGCGGGGCCAGGCAAAACCCGCCCCCTTCCGGCTCCTTTCCCCGCCCTCCCCAACCCTGAGGTGTTGGGCCGGAGGGGGCGGGCGCGGCGGGTGGATTTCTCTCTCCCTCCTCTTCTCTCTCTCTCTCTTCCTCTCTCTCTTTTTCCTCTCTGCCTTTCTCGGTTTCCCTCGGCGGGTGGCGAGGGTCTGGTGGAAGAGCCTCCGGGACGCACTTGGGCCGGATTTGAGGGGGGGGGTGGGGGGGCGGGGAGGGACCTGCGGCTTGCGGCCCCGCCCCCTTCTCCTGCTCGGCCTGGCGAGCGGCTAAGCCCGCCTCCCGCTCCGGCCGGCCCGGGGGCCGCGTCCCCGGGGCACCCTCGTCAGTCTAGGCCTGGGCTTCTCTGCTTGCCGGTTGTCGGCGGGCGGCCGAGGTACCCCCCCTCCATGGTGGGTTTCGGAGCCAACCGGCGGGCTGGCCGCCTGCCCTCCTTCGTGCTGGTGGTGTTGCTGGTGGTGGTGGTCGTCCTCGCCTTTAACTACTGGAGCATCTCCTCACGCCACGTCCTGCTTCAGGAGGAGGTGGCCGAGCTGCAAGGCCAGGTCCAGCGCACCGAGGTGGCCCGCGGGCGTCTGGAGAAGCGCAATTCCGACCTCCTGCTCTTGGTGGACACGCATAAGAAGCAGATCGACCAGAAGGACGCCGACTACGGCCGTCTCAGTAGCCAGCTGCAGGCCAGGGAGGGCCTGGGGAAGAGATGCGAGGATGACAAGGTAAGGCCGAGCCCGTTTCCCTGCACCCCCCTAGTTGGTTTTGTGTTTGTTGTTTTGTTTTTCACCTCTGGGGGTAGGGGGGTGGGGATGTTAGCCTAAGCAGTGCAAGTCTGAGCCTCTCCAGGATCGCAGCCTTGGTTATCGCCCATTAAAAAACCCCCTAACAAATCGCAGTGTCTAAAATTTCTGGTTTATCCGTGTACCACCGTATTTCTGTCTAGTCCCCTGCTGGGGACTGGTTGTTAAGTTCTGGTTTTCAGGAGTGGCCTAATGTGTGCATGCCGCCTTTTCTTCTCAGCTCAGCTGCTGAGCTGGCAGTGGTAATCATTTTGGCCTATGTGGCTGCAGATCTGGAGAGTGCGAGGTTTCGTGTGGCTATTGAGGTATCATCACGATTCTGTGCATACTGAGCAGTATGTATTTAAAAAGTGAGGTCTCTTCTAACTCCTTTTGGTGGTCAACATATTTTTGAAGCAGTTATCACTTCTTAATTTTTTTTATAGGTCGATAAGCATCAGGTATTATTGCCTTTTTGTGTGTGTATGATCAGTGTTATATGGAACCAGCATAGATACATAAGTCACACTTGTGATTTGGACATAGTTAATCCTTCATTCTCTACAGAATTTGAATTGTTAATGAAATTAGCCCAAATGGTGGAATCTAAAAATAAGTTCTGAAGAACAGAATCTTATATCTGTGTTCTCATCATTTCAGAAAGAAAATAAAATGAAATTGTGTATGTTTGAATACCTGATAGGTTTGGTGTTATATGTAGGTAGAAATTACAAAGTTCTAAATTTAAGAAGTTTAAAACAGTGATCATACCTGCTATTAAACAAGTATTTGTGCTCACCATTGTATGGTTAGTTATGTTCTTAGTTTGTGACTTGACGCAACTTCTGCTGGTATAGCAAGAGTTGTGAAAATGTTGGGGTGAGATAATAGATGCCTTCCTTTTTGAGCTCATTAGTAACCTTTGCTTTTGTGTGTGTGTAAGTTCCTATTATAATTCTAAGTTTTTTACCTCCCATTTCAAAATCACTTATAGTAAATCATTATGAATTAAAATCTCCATGAGATTTCTCCAACTTGCTGATCATTCTCATCCTATACGCTGCTTTGTATTTTATGAAGATTGGGGGTCTTAGGTAAGTGCTTCCTTATAGCTGTCCTTATCATTTCATAGAGGGCAAGGGATCAGCAAACTATACTACCATCAGAACTCTGAAGACACAACTCTGAAGATAGTAGGCAAATATCATGAAAATTTGGAGTATTAAGGTTGTGCATAGTGATTCGTGCCTATAATACCAGCACTTGGGAAGCCAAGACTCATTGACTTCTGGGCTACAAAGTGAGACCCCCATCAAAAACAAAATCAAATTAGATCTTCAGACTTACAATGGTTAAACATCACTATAACATTCTTCTCAGTAATCTCAAAGATATATCCTTTCTACTACATACTCTAGAATTCATTTCTTTTTTTTCTCATTAAAAAATTTATTAGTATTATAAAGCTGACATACAGAAAGGTTATATTTACATATATCTGGTAAAGAGTACATTTCTAGAATCCATTTCTTCTATCCATTGTATTATTATTACCAATCTTTTTCAGTAGGTTTTCATGTTTCATTGGTTGCTTCCTCTCCTCCCCCTCTCAGCCTGAGTGCTGGGATTTTAGGCATGCACCACCATTTGTTTTCTTTTTTTTTTTTCCTTTAAATTTTTTTTTTCTATTGTAAAGATACTGTACAGAGGGGTTACAGTTACATGAGTAAGGTAATGAATATATTTCCTATCGAGCATTGTTACCCCTCCTTTGTTTTTCCCCTATTATCTCTTCCCTCCCCCGTCTCTAGCACCTCCCTCTCCCCTGAAGTTATAAAGTTCATTTTTCAATATAGTGTCCTGTACATCTCGTTGTTACAATGGGTCAACCTGTACCCTTGTTAAACCACCATTTTTTACTCTGTTTACCTTACAACAAAATTTCAACAAAATTTTAACTTAAGGAACTTTCTTTTTTGGTCAGTTATGGAGCTTGAACTCAGAGTCTGGACGCTGTCCCCGAACTTTGTGCTCAAGGCTAGTGCTCTACCACTTTGAGCCAGAGCTCCACTTCTCTTTTCCGGGTGGGTAATTGGAGTCTCAAGGTGGCTTTGAATCACAATCCTCAGATCTCAGCCTCCTGAGAAGGTAGGATTAATGTGTGAGCAGCCAGTGTGTAGCACAAATTTTAAGTTCTTTGAAGAAGGCTTATCTTTTAAATTCTAGTGGGTTTCTGTTAGCAATTAGTGTTAATATGTCATAATTGATTCATGCATCACCCCATATCTCAAATTATTTGGAAATATTAGTCCCTGGTATATGTGAACGTTAGCTTTGGAAATAGGCCTATTTAGATTTAATCTAGTTGCTTTGAAGTCCAAGCCTAGTCTACTATGACTGGTGTCCTTGTAAGAAGAGAAAACAGAATTAAACTGGAGATATGGCTTAAGTGGTGAAGTGCCATCCATGAGCAAAAAAGCTAAGCAAAAGCTGGAGGCCCTAAGTTCAAGTCCCAGTACTGTCCCCCCCCCACCCCAAAAAAAAAAAAAAACCCTTTTTGATTTGTTGTTTGATCATTTGTCTTCTATAATATTATTATACTATATAACAATATAGTTTAGTGGAAAGAACAAGGTCTTTTTGAGTCAAACAAACCTGGGTTTACAATTTTGCTTTTTTTTTTTAACCTATTCAATCTGTTTCTTCACCCAAAATAAAGAATATTGATGAAATAAAATATGTAAATAACAATCTGCTACAAAACTTGACATAGGGGCTGGGAAGGTGGCTCAGTGGTAGAGTGCTTTCCTGCATGCATGAGGCCCTGGGTTTGCTTACTCAGCACCACATAAGCAGAAAGAAAAAAAAAGCTGGAAGTGGTGCTGTGGCTCAAGCATGGTGCTGTGGCTCAAGCAATAGAATACTAGCCTTGAGCTGAAGAGCTGAGGGACAGTGCCCAGGCCCAGAGTTCAGGCCCCACAACTGACAGAAAAAAACAAAAAGAAAAAAAAACCCCAAAACCCGAGGGGCTGGGAAGGTGGCTCAGTGGTAGAGTGCTTGCCTTGCATGCATGAGGCCCTGGGTTTGATTCCTCAGCACCACATAAGCAGAAAAAGCAAAGCTGGAAGTGGTGCTGTGGCTCAAGTGGTAGAGGGCTCGCCTTGAGTTGAAGAGCTGAGGGACAGCGCCCAGGCCCAGAGTTCAAGCCCCATGACTGACAAAAATAAAAACAAAAAACCTTGACATTTACTAATATCCCTTTCTTTGGTTCATTGATATAATTATTCTTGACAAAGTTTGGGCTTGTATTATTCTCCTAAAATGTATTAATTCTGCTGAAGAAATACATATTGAGTACCTGTTGAACTATGTATTAAAATGGTCTTAAAAACGTCCCTACTATTCATTTATCTTCTTTTCTTGTTTACATTTTTTCTCTTTTATATCCATGATAAGAAACTGAAGATTCTCAAGAGGTTCCATAGACATCATAAAACAAGATGCTTCTTGAAAAATTATGGCTAGTTGTAGAGAAGGGAGATGTAAAATAAGTATTCATTTACATAGATGATGCTATAACCAATAATTGCTTTGGATACTTAAGGAGTGTGTTTTCTGTATGCTCTTCTTTTTATTTGTCTAAATGTTTCAGCTTGACTTTTTTTGGTGAATTCTCATTGATCTTAGCTGTGGATTGTAATCTCAACAAACAATGATTATTTCTATCTGATGTGCAGTTTATTATCTACTAAATGCTATTTTATGATAATAGAAAAATGATGGCTAGGGTTTAGTTATTTACAGAAGTTCCCTTCCACACTGTAGAGAGAAACTTTTTCCTAAAAAAAAAAATTATTTGGGGCTGGGAAGGTGGCTCAGTGGTAGAGCGCTTGCCTTGCATTCCTGAGGCCCTGGGTTCGATTCCTCAGCACCACATAAGCAAAAAAAAAAAAAAAATTATTTGATAAGAGTAAAAGGATAAACTGGCCGGGCACTGGTGGCTCACTCCTTTAATCCTAGGTACTCAGGAGGCTGAAAGCTGAGGATTATGGTTACAAGCCAGCCTGGGCAGGAAAATCCATCGACTCCTATCTCCAATAAACTTCTGGAAGTGGCGTTGTGGCCCAAGTAGAGAGAACTAGCCTTGAGCAGAAGAAGCTCAGTGACAGTGTCCAGGCCCTGAGTTTAAGCCCCAGGACCAGTAAAAAGAGAGAGAGAGAGAGAGAGAGAGAGATTCCTAATGCCTAAGTGAGAATGTCCAACATGCCAATCATCAGGAAAATGAATATTAAAAACACAGCTAGAGCACAAGTTGGCAGATAAGTAAACGTTATAAAGCCTCTCTAACCTGAGTGTGGAAGAAGACACTGACCAGCCAGAATGTGGGATAGAACCAGGTTAGAGAGGTTGCAAGCAGTGTCAACTGAAGGAAACCCACAGCAATTCCATTGATATAGAGAAACACACAGGAATTCCCAGTGTTACTCAAAGGAGGAGATGGGGTCAGTGCAGTGAGCATGTATAGTGTCTTCAAAGTGAACACACTGCATGCCCACATGCAGAAGGTTGGGGAGATAGTGCATTCATGAGGCAGAAAGTACCCAGCATGAAGATTCACTGGTGTCTGATAAGGCTGTCTTTTTTTTTTTTTTTTTTTGCCAGTCCTGGGGTCTGAACTCTGGGCCTAGGAGCTGTCCCTCAGCTCTTCAGCTTAAGGCTAGTGGTCTACCACTTGAGCCATAGTGCCACTTCTGGTTTTCTTGTGGTTTATTGGAGATAAGAGTCTCACGGACTTCTGCTTTTCTGGTGGTTTATTGGAGATAAGAGTCTCCTGGACTTTTCTGCCTGGTCTGGCTTTGAACCGCGATCCTCAGATATCAGCCTCCTGAGTAGCTAGGATTACAGGCATGAGCCACTGGTGCCTGGCTCAAGGCTATCTGTTTTGTAGGATCTTCAGGATGCTGCAAGACATAGGAACCTCCCTGTCCCCCGCGCCCCTCCCCCCCCCCCCCCCCCCCCCCCCCCCCCCCAAGGAAAACAAAACAAAAAACAAAACTAGAGATTTAGAAACATCCTATGCCTGATTGGTTCTTATTTGCAGTTCCACCTCCATCTTGGTACTCCGATGTCATGGCAAAGACCAAGGTCTGTGAAGTCAGAATTGGCAGTGTCTAGCGAGAAGTCTGGGGTATAAGGGCTCTGAGGCCAGAGATTGAGTCTGGGGCATCCTGCATGCCCTCACGCACTGCATCCAAGCTTTTCCTAAGCCTGACTAAGGCTAGAGAAGGGATCTACTGCTGGGGAAGGTACCCACAATAGAGAAAAGTGGCAGAAACCTGGGGACCTAGGATCATGGACTCTACCCAGATAGGGACAGGGACAGAGTCACAGGCTTTGAGGCAGATGGGCGCAGTGTGGGTTCCCCAGGTAATTGTTGTAGTTGTTGCTGGAGATGCTGATTTATCCCAACCAGAGCTAAAGCTAAAGCTTCAGCTTTAGCCTTTCAGCCAAGGCCACTCCAGTCCTGTTAGTGGGGTACTTAGTCATCTCATATTGTTTCCTCAATTGACACAGCTGCTCCCCTCTATAAAGTGTATGTTCTGCTGATGCCCTTAGAGTAGTGGAGGAACTAGGGGTACTGTGGGAGCCTGGGATACTTGGCAGTCCAGTCTGTTCTTAAGTGTCAGGAAGCAATTCTTATAGCATACCATGTGATATCTGACTTCTGAAGTAATAGGAAGTACCTTCTAAACTATGATTACATGAGCAAGAATAACTTCTGTTTATTCTTTTTTTTAGTTTTTTAAATTATATGGGTATTCTTTTCTAAATAGTTGTACAAAAGAGTTTTCATTTCAGAAGTCGGGTTATGAGTACAATGCGTTTTAATCAGTCACCTTTCCTGCCTACACTGGCTTTTGAGCCAACAATCCACAGATCCTTCTGAGTAGCAAGGATTACAGATGTGAGCCACCAGCACCAAGCTTTTGGTATGCTTTTACGTTGTTACTGACTCCTAAAGGATAGTGACCATGGTCCTGAGTTCCGGATATGATACTGCACACAGAGGTGGCAGTTTGATAAACATCGATTGCTGTTGATTTGTCTTTAGATATTTCAAATAATTCATTGCTGAATATAGAGTTAATGAGTGATCTTTCTGATAAGATTTGGGAAAAATATGAATAGATGTTCAATTCAAACTTAAGAATATTGGGAAGTTGACTCACTATATACCATGTACAAGGAGTATTCTCATGCAAATTTAAAATAAGCATTAATCAACAATTCTTTTTTTAAAAGTTGAAGGGGTCAGGTGATGGGGGCTCATGCCTAAAATTCTAGCTACTTAGGAGTCAAAGCTGGTTTGGGCAGGAAAGTTCATGTGACTCTTATCTCCAATTAACCACTAGGAAACCACAAGTGGTACTGTGTGGCTCAAAGTGGCCAGGCTTGAGCAAAAGAGCTCAGGGATGGTGCCCAGGCCCCAAGTTCAAGCCCCATGACTGACAAAAAAAAATGTTGGGGGGTATAGAGATTTTTTTCATTTATGATCAAGCTCAAAGTGAGTATGAACAAAATATATATAGAACTCTCTATATAAACTATATTCATATATATATATATATATATTATTGTGAAAATACTGTACAGAGGGGTTACAATTACATGGGCAAGATAATGAGTACATTTCTGATCAAGCATTGTAAACTATATTCTTTAGTAAAATGAAAACTTCTTTTTCAGCTTAAACTACAGAACAACATATCTTATCAGATGGCAGACATTCATCATTTAAAGGGTAAGAAATTTACCTATAGAGTAAAGGTAGAGGGTACTACATGTATAAAACCTTCAGGAACTAAGGAACAATAAGACAGCTAAATGACATAAAGTCATAGCAAAGCTCCTCTGGCAGTTTATCCAGATTTGTCTTAAGACATGTAATATTTATTAATACGTAATAAATGCAACTTTAAATTTGAGGTCTGTATCTTTAATTTTGCTCATGGAGAATATTCTTGCAATTAAATGTTCTTAAGGAATCTTCAACGAACATTGAACTGTAGCTTCTGAGGTTAACACATTTTTAGAAAAATCACAAAAGGGTCCTTCTGTATAGAGTCTGTTCAAATAATCCACTCAGGTTTAAGGATACTGTGGATACTCTAGGGACAGAAAGAAACATGGAAGCTAGGCAAATATATCATAAATAAATGTAATCTACTAAATTTTAAGACAAGTAAATACAAATGAAGCATTGGGAGGTAACTAAAGCTTTTATAGAAAAAAAGGAAAGCACGCCATCCTGTGGCCTTTTGGAGTTTCCTCCTTGAGGAACTCTCCTCTCTAACACCCTTTGCATAAACGGAACTGGATATTTTTGAAACCTTTCCTGTGAGCTGGTGTCTCACACCTGTAATCCTAGCTACTCAGGAGGCTGATACCTGAGGATCACAATTTGAAGCCAGCAAACAAATCCATGAGACTCTTATTTCCATTTAGCTAGCAAAAAGCTGGAAGTAGAGGTGTGGCTCAAGTGGTGAAGCAATATCCTTGAGTGAAGATGCTAAGCAAGAGTGTTAGGCCCTGAATTCAAGCCTACTACCCGCACCAAAACAAAACGAAACTAACAGAAAAGGAGTGACACGTGCCTGTAAGCCCAACTCTCCAGAGGCTGAGACGAGAATTTTGACTTTGAGGCCAGGCTGGGCTAAAGATAACAGCAACAACAAAAGACACCTTGCATTCTGTATTCACAGTGAATTTCTTTAAAGTTTAATAGAGAAGTATGGGCTAAAACACCCTGCATTCTGTACTCATAATGAATTTATTTTAAAAGTTTAATATTGGGCTGGGAAGGTGGCTCAGTGGTAGAATGCTTGCCTAGCATGCATGAAGCCCTGGGTTCAATTCCTCAGCACCACATAAACAGAAAAAGCTAGAAGTGGCACTGTGGCTCAAGTAGTAGAGTGCTAGCCTTGAGCTGAAGAGCTGAAGGACAGCACCCAGGCCCAGAGTTCAAATCCCCCTACCCCCAAAAAAAGTTTAATATTTTCTACTTCTATAAAATAGACTTAGAGAGAGAAAGAGGGAGAAGTGTGGGATTTTTTTTGGACTGCTTAATGTTTACCTACATATTATAAAAAGATGTGCAATTTAAAAAGTATTTTAGGTTGACATAAAACAATTGAGGTTATATTGTTTTATAGTAAGTCTTATTGGCCATGGGTGGATTGTAAAAAATAATTAAATGTGTTATTAATGATGTAATTTAATTCCCTAAGGGCATGTATAAAGAAATTGAGAAGTGTGTAATTAAAAGAACAGCCATAGGTTCCCAATAGTAAACTTGATGCCTTTTACTTCTTATCTGTGTGGACAGAGCAACTTGCTGAGCTGCGGCAGGAGTTTCTTCGACAAGAAGACCAGCTTCAGGGACTACAGGAAGAACAATACTTACCTTGTAAAGAGGCTAGAATATGAAAGGTAAGGTGTTCCATCTAACTAAGATTTGTGAATCTAAAATAATAAGATCCAGCTTTTAGGTTAACTCACTTCTTCCTGTCTGGCTTCTATTTTTCTCTTCTTCTTTTCTTAGATCTTATAAATTCATATTATTTTGTCATCAGTGGCTCTTGTGAATATTTTGATACGTTAACCATACAAGGCATACAAGGCATGCTAAGTTTGTGTTGTTAGAGTCATCATGAAACAAACATCTTCCAGGTTTTTAGTCTTACCAAATTAGATATGACAAAGATTGACAGGAGGTTCTGTGATTCTGTGTGCGGGGCCTGCAGTAGGTAAAGTGAGCCCTGGGGGATGTCCTCCGTTAACTGAGGCCCTGCGCGTACTGGCCGCCTCGGCTCTGCCCTTGAGCCTCCCTGCTTTACTTGCCCACTCAGGGAAGATGTTGAGAGCATCTTGGGAACTTTTCTAAAACTTGAAAACCTTTCTAAAATATAACTTCGTGAAAATTTATAAAATTTAAATTTATATCCATTTTTGGAAAAAAGGCATCTTTTAAATTTTTACACCAAACATTAGAAAGATTTGCCATGTTCTAAAACAGTTTATACTTTTGGGAGTTATTGCCAAAGGTTATTGGTATGCACTTACATTTGTGTATATTATCCTAACTGTATTCAGTACTTTGTTGTACACCTATAGTAGTAAAGATTTTTAACATATATAATATTCCAGCATATTAATATATTAATGTTTGCTTTGTCTCTACCAGTTCCATAATTAGAATTAGATGACTGTAGTTTATCTTTTCTCACTGCTAAGGCTATCACAGCTTTAAAATTTTTTATGCAAAAAGAGATTTCCTATCTTATTTTGCTAGTGTATATTCTCAAATATAGACTTTCTGAGAAGGAATATTTTACCAGCTTGCTTGCTTTTCTCTTATAGACACAATTTATAAAGTAATAGAGTAAGAATTGTTTTTGTCTTTCCAATTTCTACTTTATGCCTTGCCCCCGCGCCCCCCCCCCCCCCCCCCCCCCCCCCCCCCGTTAAAGGTTGAAATGTTTAAAAGTTTTAGCTAAATTATTTGGCTTTCAATGCAAGTGTAGACAGCATTGAGAAGTCACTCCAGCATAATATAATCTAAAAGAATGACTATGTAACTTAGTTTTCAGTGTGGACAGCAGATCAAGGAATTAAGAGCACAGCATGAAGAAAATATAAAAAAATTAGCCGACCAATTTTTGCAGGAACAGAAGGTAAACTTTAAAAATATACTTAAGCTGGGAAGGGATATTGGGGGACGCTTAAATGGGGATGCAGGCTGACCCATTGTGATGATGAGATGTACGGGACACCATGTTGAAAACGAGCTCTACAATGTGTGTGGGGGGAGTTGGGGAAGTGGGGAGGGAAATGATGGTAGGGGAAAACAAAAGAGGTTAACAGTGCTCACTACAAAATGTACTCATTACCCTACTCATATAACTGTAACCCCTCTGTACAACATTTTTTTTTTTTTTTTGGCCGGTTGTGGGGGCCTGAACTCTGGGCCTGGGCGCTGTCCCTCAGCTCTTCAGCTCAAGGCTAGCGCTCTACCACTTGAGCCATAGCGCCACTTCCAGCTTTTTCTGCTTATGTGGTGCTGAGGAATTGAACCCAGGGCCTCAGGCATGCAAGGCAAGCGCTCTACCACTGAGCCACCTTCCCAGCCCTGTACAACATTTTTATAATAAATATATAAAAAAATACTCAGCCAGGCGCTGGTGGCTCACGCCTGTAATCCTAGCTACTCAAGAGGCTGAGATCTGAGGATCATGGTTCAAAGCCAGCCCGAGCAGGAGAGACTGTGAGACTCCTATCTCCAATAAACCAAAAAAAAATACTCAAGCTGAAATAGGTTTTTGTTATCATGTAATTTAGAAATTTAAGTTGTATGTTTGTTATAAAGATTTTTTTCTTTTTTTTGTGTCAGTTCTGGGTCTTGAACTCTGGGCCTGGGCGCTGTCCCTCAGCTCTTCAGCTCAAGGCTAGTGCTGTACCACTTGAGCCACAGTACCACTTCTGGTTTTCTGAGTGGTTTATTGGAGATAAGAGTCTCATGGACTTTTCCTGCTTGGGCTGGCTTTGAACCATGATTCTCATATCTCAGCCTTCTGAGTAGTTAGCTAGGATTATAGGCATGAGCCACCAGTGCCCAGCCATAAAGAATTATTTTAAAAAATTTTCAAATTTTGATTTTGTTGCTGGTACTGGGGCTTGAATTTAGGGCCTTGGTGCTGTCCCTGAGCTTTTTTTCTCAAGGCAAGTACTCTTATAAATTGAGCCATAGTTCTATTTCCTGCTTTTTTAGTGCTTAATTGGAGATAAGAGTCTGTTGGACTTTTCCCGCACGGCTGGATTTGAACAACATTCTTCAAATCTCAGCTTCCTGAGTAGCTAGAGTTACATGCGTGAGCTTTCAGCACCTGGCTTTCCCTGGATTTTTTGTTCAAGGCTAGTGCTCTGCTACTTGAGCCATACTTACTCTTTGTTAATGAAGATCTCAGACAGTTCTATCTGGGCTGGTATCGAACCAACCTCCACAGATCTTAGCCTCCTGCTTATCTAGGATTACAGATGTGAGCCCCTGGCATCCTGCTTATTTCATGTAGATTTTTATTATTACTTTTATAGCATTACTAATAATTACATTGCATAATGCTTTAGCATATACAAAGCATTTATTTATGCATGAAGTCTCTAGAGGAGCCTACATGTATGGCATCTAAAACATGTTTCCATCATTCTCTTATCTTTCTAAATTTCCTTGTGAAGCAACTAGTAAATAGTCCACCAATACAATTGATTTGGGCCTAAGCATGTACCAAAGACTTACAGTAATTTCTTTTTTCTTTTTTTTTTGGGGGGGGGGGGTGGGTCTGGTTGTGAGGCCTGAACTCTGGGCCTGGGCACTGTCCCTCAGCTCTTTCAGCTCAAGGCTAGCGCTCTACCACTTGAGCTACAGCGCCACTTCCGGCTCTTTTTTATTGCTTATGGGTGCTGAGGAATCAAACCCAGGGCCTCAAGCATGCAAGGCAAGCACTCTACCACTGAGCCACCTTCCTAGCCCACTTACAGTAGTTTCTAAGAAGACATTGTAGTCAGGAACAGGTTGTAGGGAGCATTGACTTGGATGTTTTCCTGCCTTTATTGCAATGCTTGGATGGCCAGTACTCTAGGGAAGGAGTTTGTATGTTTTTTGCACTTGTTGCCTTCTTCTTGTGGACCAGCCTGAAAGTAGCCATCTGTCACACTTGAAAAGCCACCCATGTGCCAATCTCTTCCTGTTCTGCCATCCTGATTTATGCTAGTGTATGTCTACAGAGAATCACTCTTCCCATAAAACCCAGGACAGTGTGTGTAACCATAACAACCCACACCGTTCAGCAGGCTAAATCTTCCAGAATCACCTCCTTAATGTGCCAGAGATGTCCTTCTGCTTAACATTTTAGGCATTTACCATAATTAGAGACTTTTAATATGTTTAGTTCCTTTATATCAGCTATTAAAACTGAAAAGAAAGGGGTTGGGGGTGTGGTTCAGTTGGTAGAGCACTAACCAATGAGTGAAAGCATCAGTAACAGAGTTGAAATGCTCATCTTGGGCCTAAAAAAACCCAACCACCAAAAAATTGAACAGAAAATAATAGTATGTCCCATATCTCTTTAAGAGTTCAAAATTTGGAGGGCTGGGAAGGTGGCTCAGTGGTAGAGTGTTTGTCTTACGTTCATGAGGCCCTGGGTTTGATTCCTCAGCACCACATAAGTAGAAAAAGCCAGAGTGGTGCTGTGGCTCAAGTGGTATAGCGCTAGCTTTGAGATGAAGAACTGAGAAACAGTGCCCAGGCCCAGAGTTCAGGCCTTACAACCAAAAAAATAAAGTTCAAAATTTGGACCCATGTTAGAAGTTTAATTGTTTTGGAACATTAATAACTGTATCAATGTTTAAAAATTTTGAACTGAAAATATTTACTGTTGATAACTCTTTTATCTAACAGCAAGAGGCCCAAAAAGTTCAAGCAAATGATAGAAAAGATTTGGATATAAATGATCATGTCGTACCTAACAATATTCCAAAAGAAGTTGAGAATGCTGCAGATAAGAATGAAGAGCCCTCAAGCAATCATATTCCACATGGCAAAGGTATTATTACTGTTACTATTTTGTTTCATGTTAATAGGATATTGACCTCTCCCCCACTTTCATTGTACTAGTACTAGGATTTGCACTCAAAGCTTCAAGTGAGTGCTACCTGTTTTGCTCACTGTTTTGCTCAGCTGGCACTCTACCACTTCAGCCATACCTGGCATTTTGCTGGTTAATTTGACATCAAGTCTTGCAGACTTTTCTTCTTGGGCTGGTTTTGAACCATGATATTCCAGGTCTCAGCTTCCTGATTAGCTAGGATTACTTCCACTGGTACCCAACATCCCCTCCTTTTTTGTCAATTCTTGGGTGCTAGGGAACCCAAGGCTTTGTACATGCACATGCACGGCAAGTTACTCTACTACTGATCCACATCACCAGCCCTTTCATTTTTCATTTTCATTTGTTCATTTTGAAGTGAGCATTTTCAATCATAAAGATAGTTAGTTGGTGTGGAAATTAGTTGATGTGGTAAAGCATAACACATACCATATGATCTCAGTTTCCTAAAATGGCAGGATCTAGGACATGCTCAACTTATGTCTGAGCATGATTTTGTTCTTTGCTTGTGTGTTTGTTCCTGTAATGTATAAAACTTAAAAAAAATAAAAACTTACAAGTCTGAAAAACAAGAAAAGAAAAAGAAGAAAAGAAAAAGAAGAAAGAAAAGGAAGGAAGGAAAGAAGGAAGGAAGGCAGAAGGCAGGCAAAGAAAAAATTAATTGATTTGTTTAAAATTTGGATCCTTTGGGGCTGGGAAGGTGGCTCAGTGGTAGAGTGCTTGCCTTGCATGCCTGAGGCCCTGGGTTTGATTCCTCAGCACCACATAAACAGAAAAAGCTGGAAGTGGCACAGTGGCTCAAGTGGTAGAGAGCTAGCCTTGAGTTGAAGAGCTCAGGGACAGCCCGTAGGCCCAGAGTTCAGGCCCCAGGACTGACAAAAAAAAAAGAAAAGAAAAATTCGATCCTTTGGCAGAAAAGAAAAAACTAAGTTATTTCTTAGTTATAGTTATATTTACAACAAGATGTAAAATTTTTTTTTAATTTTGAAAATACTGTACAGAGGGGTTACAATTACATATGGGCAAGATAATGAGTACATTTCTTATCAAGCATTGTAGCCTCCTCCTTTGTTTACCCTTCCCATCCCTTCCCATTCTCTCCCCGCCCCCTCAAGATGTAAAATTTTTAGTCTATATAATATATTGCTCTAGAAACCAATTAACTTTGATTCAACAACTTTCATTTTTTTTGTCTGTCATGGGGCTTGAACTCTGGGCTTGGGCATTATCCCTGCGTTCTTCAGCTCAAGGTGAGGGCTCTGCCGCTTGAGCTACAGCACCACTTCCGGTTTTCTAGTGGTTTATTGGAGATAAGAGTCTCATGGAGGGGCTGGGAAGGTGGCTCAGTGGTAGAGCGCTTGCCTTGCATGCTTGAGGCCCTGGGTTCGATTCCTCAGCACCACATAAGCAAAAAAGAAAAAAGCTGGAAGTGGCGCTGTGACTCAAGTGGTAGAGCGCTAGCCTTGAGCTGAAGAGCTGAGGGACAGTGCCCAGGCCCAGAGTTCAGGCCCCATGACTGGACCCCCCCCCCCCAAAAAAAAAAAAAAAAAAAAAAAGAGTCTCATGGACTTTCCTGCCTGGGCTGGCTTTGAACTGTGATCCTCAGATCTTAGCCTCCTGAGTAGCTAGGATTATAGATGTGAACCACTGGAGCTTGAATTCAAGGCCTAGGTGCTCCTACTTAGCTATTTTCTTTAAGGCAGTGCTCTGCCACTTGAGCCAAAGCTTTCTTCCTGGCTTTTTGCTAGTTAAGTGGAGATAAAAAGTCTCACAGACTTTTCTGCCTGGGGTGGCGTCAAACCATGATCTTCAGCCTCCTGAGTAGTTTAGGATTACAGGCATGCCTGGTTCATTTTCAGTTTCTGTAAGAATAATATACAGAATTACATCTTTTTGTTACTTGAGCAGAACAAATCAAACGAATTGGTGATGCAGGGATGCCTGGAATAGAAGAGAATGATGTAGCAAAAGTCGATGAACCGCCTGCTGGTAAGTAAAAGTTATTAGAGAATTTAACTGCAGTGATTATTTTTCATGTGGCACCATTTTCTCTTGTTCTGTTTTATCTTTTTCCTCCTTTTAAAAAATTTGAACTAGGGCCTGTTTACCCATTGGTCACCTTGACTTTGCTGCGTAGTCCAGGCTTGAACTTGATATCCTTCTCCCCAAGCTTTCCATGTTCTACCATCCCCTGGTCCATTCTTTTTTTGGGTAAAATGTAAAAAGCCACAGATACCTGGATGATTGAAATTTCTCATTAGTTACTCACTAATTGGATTTTTTTTTCATACCCACCATTCTAAAATTGTGCTGTTGGTGTGCTTTATTGTGGCATAGTTATTTCGTATGGGAGTTATTTAAGTTTTAAGACTTGGCTTGTCTGTAGTGAATTGCCGCACACTTTGAACAGTTTTTTCAGTTTTCTTTTACAGTCAATTTTATTCCATTATATCTTTCTTCATTAATGTGTTGGATTTTCTTTTTTCTTTTTGTCAGTCATGGGGCTTAAACTCTGGGCCTGGGCGTTGTCCCTCAGCTCTTCAGCTCAACTTAAATGCTCTACCACTTGAGCCACAGCACCACTTCCAGTTTTCTGGTGGTTTATTAGAGATAAGAATTTCACAGATTTACCTGCCCAGGCTGGCTTTGAACCATGATCCTCAGATCTCAGCCTCCTGAGTAGCTAGGATTACAGGCGTGAGCCACTGGCACCCAGCCAATGTGTTGGATTCTTATTCATGTTACTTAAAGTCATAGTTTCACTTGATATTATCCTAGTCCCATTCATTTCTTTTGTGTCTTTTTTTTTTTTTTGCGGGGGGGGGGGGGTGAAGGAGGGGAGGGTGGTGGGGGTGAGGTCATATCTATGTTTCTTAGCTGCTGTAGATAACTTTCCCAGCCAATTTTATCAGGATAAAAAAAAAAAAATCAGCCGGGGGGCGCTGGTGGCTCACGCCTATAATCCTAGTTGCTCAGGAGGCTGAGATCTGAGGATCACGGTTCAAAGCTAGCCCGGGCAGGAGAGACCGTGAGACTCCTATCTCCAATAAACCACCAGAAAACCGGAAGTGGCGCTGTAGCTCAAGTGGTAGAGCTCAAGTGGTAGAGCGCTCGCCTTGAGCTGAAGAGCTGAGGGACAGCGCCCAGGCCCAGAGTTCAAGCCCCACCACCGACCAAAAAAAAAAAAAAAAATCAGAACTAGCAGCATGTTTTTGCCTCTTGGTTGTTTTTATTCCTTCAGACATATCCTTGGATATGTCTGAAATTGGTGTCTAAAATTTAGATCTGAAGTATTAGTCATTTTATTTGTATAGTTTGGTTATCTTCTCCAATTCTCTCTTGTCTGTATTCTTGTGGGATTTTAAGATATTCTTTCTAGACCACGGTACCAGCATTACTTATGATCTTGTCAGAGATGCAGATTAGATCCTATCTGAGACCAAATGAATTGGAGATGAATGAGAACTGGAGCCCAATAAGCTGTGGGTTTTGTTTTTGTTTTGTGAAAAGGTCCTGCTATTTAGATATTTATCATTATGAACATATCATTTTAACTAAAACTTCCCTTGGTGTTAGTTCTTCTTGTTTATTGGCAACTTGATTGCCTTCTGTGCAATGTCAGTAAGCCTTTTTTGTCATTTTTTTCAGTTAGGTTATATTTTTTAATGTGTATTTTTTTCTTTGGTTGGTCATGGGGCTTGAACTCAGGGCTTGAGCACTGTCTCTGAGCTTTTTGCTCAAGGCTAGCATTCTACCACTTTGAGCCTTGTCTCACTTCTGGTTTTCTGGGGGTTAATTGGAGATAAGAAGATAAGAGTCTCATGGACTTCCCTGCCTAGGCTGGCTTTGAAACCATGATGCTCAGATCTCAACTTCCTGAGTAGCTAGGATTATAGGTGTGAGCCACCACTACCTGGTGAAAATCTTAATTCATCCTTGGAAACTCTTCTGGTTTTATGGTTTAGTGAGTCTCATATTAAAAATTGCCTTTAAGGATAAGTGTTGTGTGGCTTATAACCATAATCCATATTACTTGAGAAGTTGAGATTGGGATGGTTGAAATTTGAGGCTAGCCCATACACAAAGTTGAGCAACATCCCATCTCATCTAATAGCTTGGCATTGTGGTATGTGTCTATCATCTCAGCTACATAAAAGCATAAATAGGAGGGTCACAGTCCACCAGAACCTATTAAATAACTGAACCTGGGTACAAGTTGCTCACACCTGTAATCCTAGCTACTCAGGATGCTGAGATCAAAGGACTGGGGTTCAAACCCAGCCCTGGCAGGAAAGTCTGTGAGAGTCTTATCTCCAATTTGAACACCAAACAACCAGAAGTGGTGCTGTGGCTCAGAGTGGTAAAGTGCTGGACTTGAGTGAAAAAGCTCAGGGACAGTACCCAGGCCCTGAGTTTGAAGTCCTAGAACTGTAAAAAAAAAAAAAAAAAAAAAAAAAAATTAAAGCAGAAAGAGATAGGAGAATGGTTCAAACGTTAAGAGTTCCTGCCTTCTAAGTGCAAAGCCCCAAGTTCAACCTCCATTACCAGCATATGCATACACCCACACACAGATTTGCCCCTAATGATTTACTTTGACGAAAACCATTAAAGGATATGTTAGTCATCTATAACTACAGCAAAACACTTTAGGTAATTTTTATAACGAGAAAAGACTTATTTTGGCTCAGAGTTTCAGAGTTCCAGTCCATAGCCAGGTTTACTTTGTTTTTCCAGCAGGGTGCCAAGCTTTATTTTAGGCTGGCCTTTGTTAGAAGTCCTACCCTGGTCTCCTGAGTAGCTGGGATTACTGTTCCTTCTACCATGCCTGGCTTGTTTTTGAGATAAATCTTGCTAACCTTTACCCAGACTGACTTTGAACTGAGATCCTCCTATCCCTGCTTATGTGGTTTTCTTTAATATTTTCTCCTTCAATTTGTTAATGTCTGTCAGCACTGTTTGCAATGTTTATTTGGTTGGTAAGGCCTATCAGTGTAATGCTTCAACATACTCAGTTCTGGAATTTTCAGTTGGTTCTGTTTTAGTTTCCATTTCTTCATTAGATGTTCCTGTCTTTTCCTTTAAATCCTTGAAAACATGTACACACATACCACACGTGTGCATGCATATACACACACACCACACCAGGTCTTTTTGTTCTTTAGTTTTTTTTGGCAATACTAGAATATTGAACTCAGGTCTCTGTGCTTGTGAGGCAGGTATTTTAGAGCCATGTTTTCAATTTTGCACTGATTATTTTTTAAAATAGGGTCTTGAATTATGCCTAGCCTGGTGTGAGCTGTGATCCTTGTACTTGTGCTTCTCCATGTTGCTGGGGACAAGAGACATGTACCACTGTGCCCAGCCATAGTATTTCCCCTGTAGCTGGGTTATAGTTATGAGTCCTGTTTCCAGTCAATGGCTGAGATGGAGTTTCACATTTTTTCTTCTTTTAATATTGCTGGTCTCAAAACAGTGATCTCTGTAGGTATGATTTCAGTCTTGAGCCACTGTGCCTGGCTCAGCATCAGTTGTTTATAAACCCTTGCCTAGTAATATAGGTTTCCCTAGAATCCATTTTTTCCTGATATGGATCATATTTCTTGCTTCTCTGTAGGCCATTCAGTTTTGCATGTTATATGAATGATATGCTTAGAAGTTTGGGTTTTTTTGGGGGGAGGGGTGCCTTATTGAATTTTGTTCTGGCAAACATTTAAACTATCATATGATACTATTATATCAATTTATATGTACATATATGTTATATATATGCATATATATCACAATATATTATACTATTATATCACAAAAATTTACCTCCCCCCTCTTTTTTTTTAGCAGCACTAGTAATTGAATTTGGGGCCTTGAAGTTGCTTGACCAAGTATTATATCACTGGAGCCATGCCCCTGTCCTTTTTACTTTTTTTTTTTTTTCAGATAGTTTCATGTTTTTGCCTAGGGTGTCCTTAGACTGGATTCTTTTACTGCCTGAGTAGCTAGATTACAGAAATGTGTCACCATGCCAAACCTATATCATACTATCTATATGAAAGGTTTTACTGTTGAAAATCACTGTGTGAAGAGACTCATTTATTCATTTATAAGGTCTTCATTGAGTTCCTGCTACCTGCCAGGCACTGTTCTAGTTGTTGAGTGTACATAGTCAACAAGATAGAGTTCATAGTCATAGAGTTTATATTCTGGCCAGATTTATTTATTACTAAAATCTATATGCTACAGTGTACCAATTAGCAGTTATAAGTGAGTGTTTCTAATCCAAGGTACTCAGGAAGCTGAGATCTAAGGATCGTGGTTTGAAGCCAGTCTGGACAGAAAAGTTCTTACCTCAGTTAACCAGCTATAGAAATGGAGATGTGGCTCAAGTGTAGACCACCAACCTTGAATGAAAAAGCCAGTGTGAGAAATCCTGAATTGAAGCCCCAGTAGCAATACACACACACACACACACACACACACTCTAAGTTAATTGATACACCAACTATAAGGATTCTAAAATTAGAACAAGTATCAGAGAATTAGTATATTATAAAAAGATTCATGATATTTGGGTTTTAGAAATTGTATTATCAATGGAAATAATGCAGATATATCTTCTTCTTATAGCTTTAAAGAAGCCCCCTGTTTTAGTTTCTCCACATGGAAGCCACCAAGCAATCTCTCAGCTTCCAACTGGACAACCTCTTTCCCCAAATATGGCTCCAGGTATGAAGTCGTATTCTTAGCATTCCATTTGCAAGCCAAGTTACTGCTTATGTATTCTTATGTAGGGAATAAAACATGTCATTTAGTAGCATAGTGAATTAGCATCCATTCTTCAAATTAATATTGTATTTGTTTAAGTGACTGATAAAAGCCAGGAAAAAATGATTATCTAAATTGCACTCTTGGGCTGGGGATGTGGCTTTAGTGGTAGAATGCTTGCCTAGCATGTATGAAGCCCTGGGTTTGATTCCTCAGTACCACATAAACAGAAAAAGTCAGAAGTGGATCGAGTAATAGAGTGCTAGCCTTGAGCAACAGAAGCTCAGGGACCATGCCCAGGCCCTGAGTGCAAGTCCCAGGACTGGCAAAAAAAGAAAAAAAAAAAAAAAAAAGAAATTGCAAGCTGGAGCCAAGTACACCTGTAAGCCTAGCTGCTTAGGAGGCTGAAGTTTAAGGATTGCAGTTCAAAGCTAGCCCAGGCAGGAAAGTCCAGGATACTTTTACCTCTAATTAACCACCAGAAAACTGGAAGTGGAGTTGTGGCTGAAAAGCTAGAGTGCTAATCTTCATCAAAAAGCTCAGGGACAGGACTGGGATGTAGCTCAGTGGCAAAGCGTTTGTCTAGCAAGTGCAACGTCCTGGGTTTGATCCCCGGTACCAAAAAAGAAAAGACAAAAAAAAATACAGTTAACTCCCCCCCCCCCCAAAAAAAAAAAAAAGCTCAGGGACAGTGCCCAAGCCCTGAGTTCAAGCCCCATAACTGACAAAAATAAAGTAAAATAAAATTGTACTATGAGGGCTGGGAAGGTGGCTCAGTGGTAGAGCGCTTGCCTTGCATGCATGAGGACCTGGGTTCAATTCCTCAGCACCACATAAGCAAAAAGAAAAAAGCCGGAAGTGGTGCTGTGGCTCAAGTGGTAGAGTGCTAGCCTTGAGCTGAAGAGCTGAGGGACAGTGCCAAGGCCCAGAGTTCAGGCCCCACGACCGGACCCAAAAAAAAAAAAAGAAAAGACTTGAAATTTTGAAAGGGCTACAGGAAAACAATATAAGCACAGGCAACAACTTTCTGAATAGAATTCCAGTTGTCCAGGAAAAAAATTGAAGAATGGGATTGCATGAACATCAAAAACAACAATTACTAGAATTAGAAGAGAATGCATGGAGGAGGAGGAGAAAAGGAGGAAGAAGAGGAAAAAGAAGAAGGGAACTATTTTGGTGGGAGAACATATAGGGAAAGGGAAGGGGAAGGAGGAAAGTATGATAGAATTTGAGTATGATTGAAGTACACCCACATATACACACACCCATACACCTGGGAAAATAGCATAATAAGATCTTAATACTGATTAAAAGTTGGGGAAGGCAGAACGAGGGCTAAGAAAATGTAACAAGTAGTGAATTTTATCAAAATACACTACATATATGTATGGAAATATCACAATGAATCCCTTTGTACAATTATTTATACTAATGTTTTTTAAATCTGCCCTTTGTTTAGTGGTATTAGCCTTTTCTTTGTAGTACAAGAAGTATTTATTTTACTATCTACAACTATATTGCCTACAGGCATATGATATTTGACAAAGGAGCTGAAGACATACAGTGGAAAACTGTATAGCCTTTTCAACAATTGGTGTTGGGAAAACTGGGTAGCCATATGCAGAGAATTAAAAAGTAGACGTCTGCTTGTCACCAATGCACTAATATCAAAGTGGATCAAATCCTCAACATCATACCCAAAATTCTGAAACTACTGCCAGAGAGAGCAGGAGAAGCTTTAGAACTTATAGGTAGAAGCAGGAACTTCTTGAATAGAGTCCCAGGGGCATAACAGATAGGAGAAAGACTGGACAAGTGGCACTACATTAAAATAAAAAGTGTCTGCACAGCTAAGGACATAGTTACTAAACTAGAAAGACAGCCAACCAATTGGGAAAAAAATCTTTTCCAGCAATACATCAGACAAAGGAATAATATCCAATATATACAGGAGCTCAAGAAACTAACTTTATACCAATTTACTAAATGGGAGCTAAGAAGAGATTTCTCAGAAGAAGAGGTAAGAATGGCAAAGAAACACATGAGGAAATGCTCATCATCCCTGGCCATAAAAGAAATGAAAATCAAAACACCTCAGATTCCATCTCACCCCAGTTAGATTGACCAACATTTTGAATTTGAACAACAATAAATGCTGGCAGGGATATGGGGAAAAAGGAATCCTACTGCACTGCTGGTAGGAATGTACTCTAGTATAGCCACTTTGGAAAGCAGTCTGGCGGTGCCTCAAAAAAACTAAGTGTAGACCTTCCCTATGACCCAGCCATACCACTCCTAGGCATCTACTCTAATCATCATGAACCAGGATATGATAAGGACACCTGCTTATCCATGTTTATTGCCTCATATTCACAATAGCAGAGATAAACAATCCAGATGCCCCACAATAGATGACTGAATCCAAAAAATGTAGTACCTGTATACAATGGAATTTTATGCAGCCATTAGAAAGAATAATATGTCATTCGCAAGAAAATTAATGGAACTAGAACAAATCATGTTAAGTGAGCCAAGATCAGAGAGACAAATGGTGCATGTTCTCTTTGATATGTGCAAGTTAAATCTAAAATGCACTGGGATGTGACAAATTACACAGGATTCTAGATATTCACATACAGTGAGACCAAAAGAAGATAGTCTTAGGCGAGAATCACAAAGGTGAAATGCCTAAGTGCCTCTTCATATTTATATAAAATAATATATACACTGAAATGAACTCCAAAGATAGGGAAGTAAAAGACTTTTAAAAATGTTTTTCTGATGATTCTGTATTCTTTACCTTATGTACAGTGTGTTCATGTGCGTATCTGGGGGGGGCGGGTGGGAGGAAGAAGGGCAAAGAATCTGAGGAAAAAGTATGAAAAAGTGCAGCAGTGGAGTGTACTGGACATTGATGAAAATGAACTGTACAACTCCTGGGAGGAGAGGGAAGAGAAGGAATGGGTGAGAATGAGGGAACAGATGACACTGTGTGGAAGGAAATGTACTCATTACCTAACAGATGTAAATGTAACGCTATATCACCTCTGTAATAACAATATTCTAACAAATTCTCAACAACAACAAAAACCAACAAAAACTATTGCCTTAGCTGAGTGCCAGTGATGTATGCCTGTAATCCTGGCTCCTCAGAAGGCTGAAATCTGAGGATTGCAATTCAGAGCCAGCTTGGGCAGTAAAGCTTCTGAGACTCTTAATCTCCAATTAACCAACAGAAAACCAAAAGTGGTGCTGACACTAAAAGTGGTAGAGTGCTAAACTTGAGCATAAAAGCTCAGGTATAGTGCTCAGGCCCAGACTACCACCACCACCAACAAAAAAAACCCCAAACAACTATGTTGCCTTTCATCTCTGCTAGGCTGTATAGATTTACTTTTATCAAAGTGTGTTCATAGGTATATTACAGAAGCCTTACCATGTATTAAACAATCATTCTGCACTTATGAGCATGTTTGCTTTGTATTGAACACCTATTTGACTTTACACAATTGTTCCAAAATAGGAGTTGGTATGATTTAAATAAGCTGATATAGGGAGATGATGAAAAGGAAAGCTGTAGAACTTAGTAGCATAGAGGTTTCTAATTCCAAGATTAATAGGAATAAAGATCGTGGGCTGGGTGTATGGCTCAGTTGTAGAGTGCTTTCCTAGCTTGTGTGGCTCAGGGTTTGATTCCTAGCACCAGAAAAAAACCCAAACAAACAAACAAAAAAACCTTTAAAAGATTTAAATAAAGACTTTGATGAGGAAAGGGGTGGGGGAGTTTGGGAAAAAAAGGTTCTATCACAGAGATACTGTTAAGAAAGAATTGAAGATTTGCTGGGCGCTGATAGCTCATGCCTATAATCCTAGCTACTCAGGAGGCTGACATCTGAAGATCCAGGCTCAGCCCGGGATGGACTTTCCTTCCCATGAGACTCTTATCTCCAATAAACCACTCACAAAAATGGAAGTGGCACTGTGGCTCAAGTGGTAGGGTGCTAGCTTTGAGCTGAAGAGCTGAGGGACAGCACCCAGGCCCAGAGTTCAAGCCCCACAACTGACAAAAAGAAAAAAAAGGAAGAGTTAACAGTTGTGAATTACTGTATGCATAGATGAAAACGTAGATGTTAAAAATTTCAAAAGACTGGGTTTTAGAAATGTCTTACAACACAGTTGTATGGAGTTTGGAGGGAGGGAAAGAAAACAGGTATCATTGAAGTGATCTTTGCATTTCTGTTGTGCATCTGTTTGGTGGATAGATATAAGTCAGTAATGAAGATACTCACCTGGCAATGATGAGTAACCTCCCTATGGCTTAAGCCACCTTGCTATAAGATTTGATAAAAGAAATTGGAGTAAAGCATTAAAAAGAAAAATTACATGACTACCCAATCCCAGACAACAGTATTTCTTATTCTTAGTTTTTCTAAAGCAGTTTTTGTGAAGCCTGTTTCTTCTATAAAGGAATTTGACTTCTAATTTGATATTCTTTTGCCATAGATTCACATGTAAACCACAATGGAAACCCTGGTACTTCAAAACAGAGCCCTTCCAATTCCAATCCTCTTCAACGTTTACTTCCAGGCTCAAACATGGAGAGTGGACCCAGAATTCAACCAGATGTACTAAAGCAGGCAACTAAGGGCAGAGTCAGTGATTTCCACAAACTGAAGCAAAGTAAGAATCAGTTGATAAATATCAAGCTAAACATATTAAATGTTTGTTTACAAGGCCGAAGTAAACACTCAACCTTGTAACACTCTAATGAATGTGTAATGAAGTTATATGCATGGAAAGAGAAAGTATTGTGTTAAAATTGAGAAGAAAAACGCATTTTAAATAGAAACATTTTAAAAGAAAATTGTAAAAATCTTATCTTCCCCAGTGTTAGTAAATTTAAGGTGAGTTGATATTTTAAAAATGCATTTAGTTCTTATGAACTTAAAACTTCCTTGGAGAAATGAGGAAATATATAGTATGTTAGGCTAATGAATGAAAACTTTGATTCAAAGGGAATGAAAAATGGGGAATTTCTCTAGAGGAAGCACACACAGGAGAAGACAGCCACCTGTGAGGCAGGTGCTGTTTCCTTCTAGTTATAGTTGCTTAAGTTGTAAAGAAAGAAGCAGAATGATTAAACAGATTGGTACTGTTATTTCAGAGCTATTGACCTTGATAAATAGACAATTCCTGTTTATCTTCATTAGCTCTTTAGTTGGTAGAGTCTCAGAAAGTCTAAGAGAAATTCCATTAATAGAATTTGGGTCAGGAGCCAGGTGCCGGTGGCTCATACTTGTAATCCTAGCTACTTAGGATGCTGAGATCTGAGGATTGTGATTCAAAGCCAGTCCAGGGAGGAAAGTCTTATCTCCAATAAACTACTCAGAAAAAGCTGGAAGTTGTGCTGTGGCTCAAGTGGTAGAATGCTAACCTTGAGCCAGAGGAGCTCAGGAACAGCTCCCAGGCCTAGAGTTCAAGCCCCAGGACTGGTTTAAAAAAAGAGAGAATTTGGGTCACGAGAATATCTCTTAGGTTACCTCCCATAAACTGCTTTGCTTTTCTTCTTTGCATGGCTTCACCCAACCTCCAAACAGATTAGTTTGTCTCTGGTTTTTATGATGACTTCTGTGTACAAATAACTTGTACAAAGGTTGCTTATAGGTTGAGAACTGGACAGAGTTAGTATCTGAATCTATTCAAGATATTTTGAACAGTTATTCACATTTCTACAGTTATGTGAATATACAATAGTTTAGATATGTGTACTAATTCTCCTTCCTTGATATTTTAAAGGATATTTGTGTATCTTTATCAAAATATTATATGAAAAAGTTTTATTTGCAATATGTATTTTTATATGCAAAATGTACTATTTTAAATGTAGTAAAAATTATTTATTGTAGTACTGGGGTTTGAACTCAGGACTTCACACTTAGCTAAGCTGGTGTTGTATTACTTGTCAGCCCTTTTTGCATGGGTTATTTTTTTAAAAAATTTTATGTACAGAGGGGTTACAGTTACATAAGTAAGGTAGTGATTACATTTCTGGTCTAACTTGTTACCCCTTCTATCACTTTTCTCCCTCTTTCCCTCCCCCCTAAGTCCCCCCGCATTGATTATTTTTGAGATAAGGTCTTGCTTTCTGTCTGAACCAACATGGACCAAGACTTTCCTATTTGTACTTCTAGGATGATAGGCAAGTGCCACTGTTCCCACCCACTGGTTATTGTGGAAACTTGTGAACTTTTGTCCAGCTGGCCTCAAATCTCAGTCTTATAGATCTTTGCCTCCCAAGTAGCTTAGGATTACCTTAGCTGGTTGTACAATTTATTTTTAAAAGAGCCTATTGAGTTTTAAATTCTTACTTCAAATTACTTTCCATGTACCATTAATGAATATAAAGAATTGAAATCAATGCATGTATTATTTCTTAATTTGCATTAATTGACTATTTCTTAGATATCTTTTGTTTTGAGATAGTCTCATTATCTAACCCCAGCTGAATTTGAATTCACAATCTTGAGTGCTAAGGCATATGTCACCATATCTGGCTGTCTTTCATAGTTTTTTACTTAAGAGTTAACATGCTTGTCATTTACTCTCTCTCACTCACACACATACACCATTGTTCTTAAGCAATAAGTTTTCACTTAGTTGTAACTCTCTTGATGAGTATTTAGATTGATTCTGCTACTTGCACCTGCCAACTAGCTGGGATTGCAGGCACATAAAGTATGTAAATGCTAATCTCTTAAGATTAATTTGTTGCCTTTCCTGATCTGAGGCTTCATATTTTATCGCAGAATATTTCCAAATACAATCATTTTCATTGTGGATGTGCAGTTCACTGAAGTTACATTTCAATACCATTCCAGGTCTTCACAATGTGTTCTAGCATCTTCACTATTTAGTTGCTGGATATTCTTATCACCACAAAGAAAACCCTGTACCCATTAAATAGTCACTCCCTGTTCTCTCCTACCCACAGCCCCTGGCAACCACTAAACCTCCTTTCTACCTCAGTGGGTTCACCTATTCTGTTTCCTATAAATGGAATCATAAAGTATTTGGCCTTTAGTGTCTGGCTTCTTACTATAATGGTTTTCAAACCCAGCTACGGTATAGCATACGTTAATACTTTATCTCTTTTTATGGCTGGATAATATGCAAATGTGTGGAAGTATTTTGCTTATTCACTTAACTGTTGATAGACACTTAGATTTTTCTGTGTTTTGGCTATTATGATAGTGCTGCTATGAATATTCATTAACAAGTTTTCCCTCTACACCTGTTTTCAGTTCTTTTTGGTATGTACCTAGAGGTGGAATTGCTGAGTCATATGCTAATTCTATGTTTAGCTTTTTGAGGCACTGCCAAACTCTTTTCCACAACAGCTGCACCATTTTACATTCCTACCAGCAATGTAAGAGAGTTCTGACTTCTCCACATCCTTGCCAACACTTTTCTCACCTTCCTTCCTTCTCCTTCCCTTCTGTTGCCATTTTAGTGGATGTGAAGTGCATCTCCCTGTGTTTTTGTGCAGTGCTTGGGATCAAACCAAGGTCCTGTTCATCCTAGGCTTATTTTCTGGATGATTTTTATTTACATTTCACTAATGACTAATGATATGCAGCACCTATTTTGTATACTTGTTGGCCATTTGTCCATTCACGCCCTTGACCCACTGAAAAAATTTACTTGCTTGGTTTTGTTTTTTGATATTCTTGATAGCAGACCCTCAAATTGCCGTGTGTGTGTGTGTGTGTGTGTGTGTGTGTGTGTGCGCGTGTGTGTGTGTGTGTGCGTGTGTGTGCGTGCGCGTGTGTGCGCGTGTGTGCGTGCGCGTGTGCGCGTGCGCGCGTGCGCCAGTAGTAGTAGGGCTTGAACTTAGGGCCTTATACTCAGCTTTTTTTGCTCAAGGCTGACCCTCTGCCACTTGAACCATACCTCCATTTTCAGCTTTTGGCTGGTTAATTGGAGATAAAGAGTCTTATGGACTTTTCTACCCTGGCTTTGACACAGTCCTTAGATCTCAGCTTCCTGATTAGCTAGAATTACAAGCCTGAGCCACTGGCACTTAGCTAAAATGTTTAAACTGAAAATATAATAGGTAATCTGGAGTAAAAGAATGTAGTATACCTTGTATAGGAATAAGGAAAGAAGGTAGGTGAAAAATCACTTCATACATGCTATATGTACTTGTAGAAGTCTTGGCTACTTTGGCTCAGAAAAGGAATTTAAATGTGGAATACCCTTCCTAATTAGTTTTTGAAACTCAATACTGCTCAAATAAGGAAAGAAGGTAGGTGAAAAATCACTTCATACATGCTGTATGTACTTGTAGAAGTCTTGGCTACTTTGGCTCAGAAAAGGAATTTAAATGTGGAATACCCTTCCTAATTAGTTTTTGAAACAATACTGCTCAAAGACTTTCCATAGCTAGTGGGTATGGTGCTTCTTATGTTCTCATGTTTAAATAGTTGTAATGAAGCTGTCTTGTTGCTCATAGACTAAGTCGTTTTTTAGCTAGCTACCAGAATGAGTTGGATGTGCACATGTATAATTTTTATTTTTATTTTATTTTTATTTTTTGGTGTGGGGCTTGAAGTCAGGGCCTGGGCACTATCCTTGAGCTCTTTTGCTCAAGGTTAGTACTCTACTGCTTTGAACCACAGCTCCAATTCCAGTTTTGAGTGGTTCATTGGAGATGAGTCTCATAGGGACTTTCTGCCTGGGCTGGTTTCCAGCTCTGATCCTTAGATCTCAACCTTCTAAGTATCTAGGATTTACAGGTATGAGCCACCAGCACCTGGCACACAAGTATAATTGAATTTACCATGACATAAGGAAATATGGGGATCCAAGCCAAAAGATAGTTACTGTTATCATTCTTCTGGCTGGGCATAGCTTTTATGTGGTTACTGAGGAACAGAACTAAACACGGTTTAAAAAAAAAAAGGTGAAATATTTTTGAGGTGAAGTTTGTATATTGGATTCCTGACCAAATACAATACTTTTAGCTTCAGTGCTCACATTTTGGGCAAAGACCTTTTTATACCCATTGCCATTATTCCTCCACCAAGAAGATGAGAATCCTAGCCAATCTAGACCACTGTAGTCACTAATTCCCTCTTCTTATACTAGTCTAACAGTTTAGAAAACTGATAAGGTAAAAAATTTTGGTTCCCCATGAAATTGTAACCCCTCTGTACAGTATTTTCACAATAAAAAACAAAATTGGTTCATCCAGGCTCCATTTAGTAGGCTGCAGTGTAAAATTGGAATATGATAGAGCTCTTAGCTGCCTGTTATGAATCAGTCGTCTCTGACTTGGGAAGGGAAGAAAGGCAGAAGCAAGGACAGCACTTGGCCAACTTGTTTTCATCAGTTACTTTCAAGTTGTTTTCAAACAGCTCAAGTTTTTTTTTTTCTCGAGCCCTGTTTGTCATAGCTCGTTGCATTTTGAACTTAACATCCACATATCAGGAGACCATGTGCCATATGTCTTAACAAGAATTTTTAAAGTTCTTAATGTGGGTACCTTTTTCCCCCTTTATTTGAAGGGGGGCTGAAAATGAGGCCCTTCCTTCCTCTCTCCCTCCCTACCTCCCTCCTTCCTTCCTTTCCTTCTTTCCTTCCTTCTTGGGAGTTGAGGTATTGAGTATTAAACTCAAGGT